TGGCTTCCCACTAATTAAATCGTAAAGGGGAGAGGAGCTTGTGGACAAATGTGGTTATTCCATAGGTAACTCGTAATCTGTCCAAATTATTTCTTAGATGTTGGCCACACAGTCTTCTTTAAGCCAGCTAAGTTTCGCGGGTAGATCACCAATTGTCGTTGTGTAACGATGGAGAGTGTGTTTGTGGTTGAATTCGAAAGAGTTGTTATTCCATTAAAAAAGTAAATACAGAGTTTTGATGTTAAAATATTGATTTTAAATGTACTTCATATGAAACCTTGATGTTTTATTTATCTTCTGCACACAGTAAAAGTATTTTTCATTTTAGCATAAAGTGATATTGACACAAAATCTTCAAAATAGAGAGTGAGGGTTAATGTGGACATTGACTTTAGGGCTCTACACACTAACCGTACAGTATTGAACAGCATAAGTTTAGTTTTTGTTCAGAGTGTGCCTAAATATAATGAAGGACATGGACATAGGTACTTTTTTTAAAATGTCTTTTAAAATGAATTTAGGAGGCAAATATTCAAATTGATTGTATAGATAAGTAAAAAGGAAATACTAAGATATGCAGAAGGCACAGAATGTACTTTAAATTAAAAAATTAATTGAAGTTATAGCATTGTGTAAGGAAACTGTCCATTCTGGCACCCATCCCCACTTCTTTATCAGCTTACTGCATGCAATGCGCTTTCGACAGAAGACTCAGCAAGAGTAATAAAACGCGAGGTAAGAAAATTCTCTCATAGAGGGGCCAAGTGTGTTTTGCGCCTGCCGTTGCCAGCGGCACGATGGACTCTTAGGGAAATTATGGGAAACGACTGTAGGAAAATGCATGAAGGCTCACGCATTATGGGCCTAGTAAGAGAAACAACACCCAATCATATTGTGGCGTCGTCGGGTGCGAGTAACACACAGACACGGAGTTGATTATACAGTTTTATTTACAATTTTGATTACACAGTACACATACTCCTCGGAAACGCGCTACACTCCCAGCACTGTACATCTGAGGCATCCCCGCCCCAGCCTGACGCAGACCCCAGCGGCTTGGCGCCGCTCCTGGCCTTTTGTCCCGTGGCAACCGCCACACCTCGCTGCCGAAGCTCGCGATAACCCCTGGCGGGTGAAATGTGCCTTCCGCACCGCGATTCGGTTCAAACTCGAATGAATGACCACACGGCTGGTTGCTCTCCAGTCGCCTCGCGAGGGGTCACGTGACAGACCTCACATGCCGGCGGCGTCTTCTCATCCCGAAACGTGGGCCTGTTTGCAATTTTGGAGTCCAGCTGCACCGCGGCTGGACTCACCCATCAATTCCCTCTGTGCCAGTTGACACCCACGTTCCGAGTCACGCCCACCCGGGCCCTTGAGGAGGGGCCCACCTCTGGTGGCCTTCCGCTTGCCGCCAAAGGACCGCCCCCGCCCCCTCGCTGGCCTTCCGACATGTGTTGTCCATCTGGCCCCTCGGCACGACGTTACAATATAATCAAAAGTGAAGATTTATGTAATACGTTTTCTAGGTTCAAGTATAATTAAAGGGGTGAGGCGAAGACACCCAAGAAATTATTTTTTTCGCTACCGATGTCTCCTTGTATATCATTTTAAATACTTCCTCCCAATGAAAGTTTCGAAAAGTTATTGATTAAGGTCGAGATATATTTAAATGAACATGTTTTATGCAATGAGAGAAGTAATGAGATACTGTTGGAAAAGCGAGGTGCATAAAGACAGTTTACTCACATAAAATTATATTTAGTCTGTCGTCGAAAGAAATCTCATTCAAAAGTTAAGTTTCGAAAAAATAGTATGACATGTATACAAACGTATAAATAATATAAGGCCTGACGAAAATGCACGAAAAAATTAGCACGGTGGAGACGGCCCGAGACCGGATTTCTCGTTTCAAGCCATATTGTATAACTCCGTTCCTTCAATTACATTTGCAAATATTTCCGTGTGCAGCAGACCCAATGATTGTTCGCTCCCCAATTTTCTCCGATGTAGTCCCTCATAGTTTGCGATCTTTTGCGCCAAATTAACATGGCCTTTTTCCGGGCGGCCGCCCCCTTTGTCCTTGGGCAGCGGCGGGTCGGCCTACCGCGTCCGGTGCGAAGCTATAAAAGTCGCTCAGGGCCCGCAGCGGCCCTCACGTGCTCTCGAAATGACCTCCCGCGTGCAGTCCGCCGCCGCGCTCTGCCTCCTGCTCTTCGCCGCCGCCGCCCTGAGCAGGAACATGGACAAGGTGAGCGCGTAGGCGTCCGCGGCCGGAGTCTGTACTTGGCTGTCCGGGGGACCTAGACAGGTGCCAATGTTTAGGGCGGGAACATGGACATGGTGAGCGCGTAGGCGCCGCGGCCGGAGTCTGTACTTGGCTGTCCGGAGGACCTAGACAGGTACCAATGTTTAGGGCGGGAACATGGACAAGTTGAGCGCGTAGGCGCCGCGGCCGGAGTCTCTACCTGGCTGTCCGGGAGACGCCGCGTTTTAGACACAGGTGCCAATGTTTAGGGCGGGAACATGGACAAGGTGAGCGCATAGGATTCCGCACCGGAGTCTGTACTTGGCTGTCTGGGGGACCTAGACAGGTGCCAATGTTTAGGGCGGGAACATGGACAAGGTGAGCGCGAAGGGCTTCCGCGGGCGGAGTCTGTACTTGGCTGTCCGGGGGACCTAGACAGGTGCCAATGTTTAGGGCGGGAACATGGACAAGGTGAGCGCGTAGGCTTCCGCGGCCGGAGTCTCTACCTGAATGTCCGGGAGACGCCGCGTTTTAGACACAGGTGCCAATGTTTCTGGCGTCTTTCTGTACCAATGTTTCGGGGACCTTCCTCGGACCGAAATGCATTTCCGTCACCATTCTGCGACCTTTCTCCTGGACAGCGAAGTGGTTACACGATATGCATCGCACAGAAAACTACTTTGAAAGCGTATCTTGGAAGGGAAGTCTTTCTGATCCTACCCCAGTCTCTCTCTCTCTCTCTCTCTCTCTCTCTCTCTCTCTCTCTCTCTCTCTCTCGCTGTCTGTCTCTCTCAGTCTGTCTTCGGACTCTGCAGACGTAGGAACCTCTCCATAGGTGTCATCTTCGATCTATTCAGTCACGTGAGCGACTACTATGAGACTAAGTTTTCCAAAATATATGGGAGGGCTGGTGGGTAAAATATCAAAATAATACGCATTCATTTCAGAAACATTGGCTACATGTTCTGTTGACGTTGTAACTCCTCCAACTGGAGAATATTCACCCGAAACTAATGTATTTATATTGAATAGTAGTACATTTCAAACCTATTGAAAGAAATACTATTTACAGCTACAATTCATTTATTAAGAATTAGTTAGGGAATATCGAACATTTGATCTAACCATTTCCCGTTTCTATTTGGAGATTCTTAAAAGATGGCGTGCGTAAACCTTCATTCGGAGTAAGAGTGCGAGAGTGCAATGACGCCCGAGTGCATTGCGCTTCCGCGAGGTCGCGACGCGTTGCGTACCGCAGCGGAACGTGTGCGGGCTGCGGGTTGGACGCGCGCCTGTTCTCTCCCTCGCACAACGATCTGCCAACTTTTATTTTTTCGTCTTTTATTTGTGCGATGACCTATGGCTGTAATCCCCTTTCAAGCAGTGATGCATTTACGGGCTTTTGAATCATTGGCTTCTTATAAATGGTACAAAACCGCCGTCTTCTGTTAGCGTATTGTATAGAGTGGGCCATTTCACATGAAAACACACACACACACATACACACTAGAATGTTCCTCTTAATAATAGCAGTAAATAATTCACTTACAGAGTTAGCTTCGGAAGCATAGAAATTTCTTTTTAGTATTTTTAAAACTTCGTCGCAGTCTATATGTCACTGTAACTCTATGAACATTTCCAAGACGTGAAACGCGTTGGTAGACTCCGGAGGTACTTTTGTGAGAAGCGAGTGCACTGCGATTCTGCTGGCCGACTGGTCGTAAAATCCTGCGGAGTTTACGTGCGCTGCGTGTGAGAGCAGACCGTCTTAATTTGAACCCTATTTTCATCACAGCGGGTACTTGCAGATAACAGATGGTAAAACGTCCCCTAAAATCAAATCACACATGAGTAGTTAAAAGTCTGCCTCTAACATAGAAAGAAATTATTGAAATTATTTTTAGTCTTTCTCCTACCCTTCTCCATAGCCACAAACGTGTTTTTAAGTTTTAATTTTTTCGAAACCTTTCATTATTTTATCTCATTGATAAAATATTAAAATAATATAGACTATATAAAAAACAACATATATGATATTTTCATGGCGCAGATTAAAATGCAAAAAAAGTGTTAATACCCTGGTACGAAAAATTATCAATACCTCCTCACAAATCACCAATTGTTTCAGATTTTTTCAGTTGTTGGGATGTAGTTAAGAAAACAAATAATTTTACCATTTTTTGGCGTTTAAATCATTCATCACTTTAAATAAACTTTGAAAATTACGTCGTCGCACATGTGATCTGCAACGCAGTATTGCCAACCTGTCAAACTGGAATTATCGCCGATCGTTTGCTAGTTTGGGTAACCTGGAGCACATATGTATTTTTATGTCTTTCCTTTATATCTTTCTTTTTTCTCCTTTTTTTCTTCATCTCAGATTGCAAGGCATCTCGGATTACCGCGTTTGTACAGTATGTTCTTAGACTGAACAGAGGTAAGAGAGAAAGAGTCAAATGTGCTTTGCGCTGAAGCGGGAAGTGGAAGGCTCTGATGATCACTCTTAGTCCGAACAGAGGGAAGGAAGCAAATGCGCTTTGCGCTGCAGCGGGAAGAGGAGGGCTCCGAGGATCTCTCTTAGTCTGAACAGAACGAAGGAGGCAAACGCGCTTTGCGCTGCAGCGGCAAGTGGTGGGCTCCGAGGATCACTCTTAGTCTGAACAGAGCGAAGGAGGCAAATGCGCTTTGCGCTGCAGCGGGAAGTGGTGGGCTCCGAGGATCACTCTTAGTCTGAACAGAGGGAAGGAGGCAAATGCGCTTTGCGCTGCAGCGGGAAGCGGCGGACGCGGGCGCCGACGCCGCGGACGGCGCGGAGGGCGCGGGCGGGCGCGAGGGCGTCATTCTGCTGCGCGGCATCTACACGTGCCCCGAGGTGGAGGACGAGTCCAAGATGTTCGGCGTCGTCAAGGAGGTGAAGCTGGAGCGCACCGAGGCCACCAAGTACACCGCCAGCGGCGCCATCAACCAGGTGCACGGCATCGTCTGCGAGGACACGTTCGCGGTGAGTAGCGCGCACGTCACCCGCCCCTCCCCCCGCTCCCGTGCGCTCACTCATTCACCCATATCCACTCGCCGGCCCTCCATCCACCCTTCGGCTCCCCCTCTCTCGCATTTGTCCCAACCGGCGAAGGTGGCTCAGGGCATCAACTGATGTTACTGTAGTGTCTCCGTTACTGTAGGTCTTAGGGATCGAGCTCCGATGGTGCCAGCATTTTAGACACTAGCTTGGCAGTTGGGTCGAATTCAGCCGCTCTCTGGAGGAGAATTCTTGCAGCCGGCTGCTCTGATCGGAAGTTTTTCGTAGTTCCTCCAATCAACACCAGGCGAATGCTGGAGTAGCAGAACATGCTTTAAGCTCCCGACCGTTCTTTCAACATATGTGGTAGTGTGGGAATGTTAGTATAAGTGTGTAGAAGTACGGGATGAGGATAGGACAAGAAAGATCACGCGTGGACCGTATACAATTTGTTAGGGTACTGCTCCTGCATTTGCCTGGTAATGATCGAAGAAACCACGAAAAAACACCGATCAGAGCAGCCGGCGTATAGGATCCTCCTCCAGACAGCCGCAGAACTCGACCAAGTTAGCTATGTGACTAGTGTAGAAAATCCCGCCCATGTCGGAACTAGAACCTAGGGCCTCCCTGTCAAAGGTACTGCAGTGACATCAGTTGATGCCCTGAGCCACCTCTCTCGGTCTATCCCTTCACCTCCCCACTCATCCACTCGTCCGCTGTTCGCTCGCGCCCCCTCGCCCTCTCCACCGTCTCAACCAAGCCATCTGCCTGCCCACCCTCTCTCGCGCACACCCGAAAGAAATAATGATTGTCAAGCTAGCACATTCTACATCCACTCATTTACTGCTGTTCGATTGTCTACAAAATTTCTATGTTGAGAATTTTCTGTAGCAATCCGTTATTTTTTCATTTATCTGTCCCTTATTGTATCAACGAGTGGCTTCGTCATTTTTAAAGTTTTTCTCTTATTTAAGGTCGCTTTTTCACTTATTTAAGGGCGCTAGAAAGGTATCAAACTAAATTTTATATACCTTTGTAGAATAGTAAATTGTGTGATGTGTGGCGATAGAGATGATACGGCTAGTAATTAAGGAAGTAAGCAACCTTTAAAATGAAAATTTTGAGTTTGTGTAGCGGGTTTCCTTCCTGTTTTCGCCACATTTTAAGGTTAGGAGGATTTTAACTAAGACTTGACTACTATGCTATATTCATGACATTGTTTTGAGATGGGTATTTTTTGCCACAGTTAATACAGCGCAAACTACGGGTCAAAGGAAAAATTAAATAACATATGATGTAAAGAAGGCCGACAGTTGATGGTAATGGGGTCAGTCAAAATGTTAACGCCACCCAAATGGAAGATTTTTCTACGCGGTTGAACCAGTAGCTCAGTAGCTGTGAATCACCAAAAACTATTTGTCAGGACCGATACTTCCCCCAAAACGGCCAAGTTAATGGTTGAATCGGCCGGACTGGTTAGTGGATCTTTTAAAAATGCTCTTATAAATCAATTAACCTAGTCAGAGTTAAGACATTTAGTCCGCCTACATGAAGTAAACAAAAGCGACAAAATTCCAAGTTCCAAATTTATCTCAAAGAGATGTCTAGATAAAGTTTGTCTGAAAAACTTTGTTTTTTCAATGTTAATTTTTGTTCTTTTTGCTTCGTAATATGCCAAGATTTGCAAAGAAATTTTTTGAAGTCGTTTGATTCTTTGTTACTACTTTTTGTGTAGTATGGTATATTAACCATCATATGATGTGGTGGGCGGCTTTAAGAACAACTTTAACTATGAATATGAGAACACATACATTATTCATATTTTTTTCAATAGCTAAACATATCTTAATGATGTTATTTGAATGTGTAATGAAAAATTAGTGTAATTTCATACTTCTGTGATGATTACTAATAATTTCCTTTCAACATCTCCTTGAATGACCGATTTTGGATCCCCGTACCGTACATGTTTATGTCATCCATCACGTGTACTTTTGCGTTTTACGAATTACCCCTTAGGTTAATCTTTGCGTTGGGATGAAGCGCCATATGAAGGCAAAATAAGAAATACTTCAAGTATATCAATCCAACTACAAAATGCAACTATTTGAGACTTCTTTGCAGATTTACACCAGTTTAATTGCCTTAAAATTTGATTTGATGCTGTTCATCTGACGCAGTTATCTGTACTTAATTGGAAATGCGCCTGTTGCAGATGAACTTCACGCTCATGAAGCTGGACGACAGCAACAACAACATGGAAACGACGATGATACAGTTCGACGCCGCTAATGTTACGAAGCTTATTGAAGACTACCCGGAGCAAGCAGATCCCTTCTTCAGTTGCTCTACCTTTCCCAGGTCCTGTCCGTTCGGAGAGGTAAGGATGCGGAATAACGTGATAAAAAAAAAAGAAAAAAAAAGAATTCGAAAACGCAGGGAAATCAAACCTCAGAACATAGTATACAGGGCAACGCGATGAAAATGGCTGGTCACGTAAAAGATTATGCATTCGACAGACAATTGCATCAAGGCCAAGGCAGAAGGACAGCATGATGTGTGTTGCGACGCAAGGGAAGTTCGGAAAAAGTTTAACTTTTGAAATTTTATAGAATTTACTGAAAGTAGGACTGTTACCAGCTTTTGTAAATGTACTTCCAATTTATTACTCAAATAGAACAACGATAAGATTAAAGCGGTTTTAGAAAAAATATGACCAGTGTTTTTCCTTCGAAATATTGAATTGAATTGAATTTGCCATATTTTACGTGGCGAGACTCGGGCCATCAGGCCCGCTCTTCCGTCTGACCACGCAAATTTCGCTACGCTCCTCTCACCAACTAGCGGAGAAAGGAGGTATTTCTTGGGCGAGAAACAGGTCGATTTCGATTTATAGATCCGATAAGTGTCGATTTAGAAATGTTGATCAATTTTTTGCAGCATTATGCAATTTGCTGCTCCGAAATATAGTGAATAAATAAAATTTATGCATTTTATTTCTTTATACTATGAATAGGAGTAAGTCGATAAAATCATCACCTGCATCAACCGTTTTGACCCGCTAAATTATTTTTAAGGTGGTATTACTGCTTGAAGTCTCCCAATATCCCGCTAAGCATTTAATATTTACTCACAATGCTAATTATTAGGGTAAATATTTTAAATATAGAATTAATATAACGAATTAATATTATGTTTATAATTAACAGAAAATAATAAACAAAACATTAAGATTGTATCTATATTTATGTTTAAATAACTACTGGTTCGCAATATTATACATTTTCAGGTACATATTCACACAAGTGTACTGAATGTAGCATATCGTATTCTGTTTCCTCCCACAGGACACCTACTCCGTGAAGAAGTATGACTTTGACATAGAACCGTACCGCAAGTATCTTCCAGAAGCTGCCTACAAAATCAAGTTGACTGGAACGGTTAACAGTGAAATGATCTGGTGCACCGTTGTGGAATTCGCAGTGGAAATCGAGGATTGAAAATAAATTCCATCCAGACCAACATCCCGAGAAAAGAATCATTGAATATCGATCAAATAAAAAGATTAATGATGAAAGTTTGCTCTATTGAAAGTTAAATAAACTTACCTGCAGACAAATTTGAATAAGTAAATTGTAGGATACATTGACATTGACAAAAGGGCCGAAAAACCCTGACGTTTTTGGATGTTAATGCATCACTATTGCGCTCTATAAACCTGTGATAGTTCGGTTTAGGTATTATTGATTTACGAAAAGATTAAGATCTAGTTTCATTTAAATTAATATTGAATTAAAGCTAGAAACGAAATTACAGAATTTGTATAAACTTTGGCCCACATTTTAAGACGATACTAACACCGACATACTGACAATACTAATACTGACAATACGTAACTATTGAAACATTGTATGGAACTGTATAAAACATGAAGTAATAAAACGGTGTTATGTTGAATACGCAATATAGATGGTACGTTAATTAGTTTTAAAATATTTGTTTTTGTTTGAAAGATAATTTTTTTTCTCAAAGGTTGATTTTTAATGACCTTAAAGGGTTGAAGGTACATTATTTTATAATACATATGTTTAACACATGGAAACAATGGAAACAATGTCGGAATAATTTCTAGTTCATTTTATTTGCTGGCACATCACTTATACATTACTACATTTTCATTGACAAAAGTGGTCATCTTCGACCCTTCAACTTGCTATAGAAGTTTGTAACATTTATTCCGCGACATTCTGTATAGCTGGTGTCGAATTGCGCGCACGTTTGGGTCTCGAATGTTCCCGGTCACGAAGCGTAAGTTGTGAACTCACTGTGAACTGTTGAACTCGATAGCATCTGGTTAAAACTAGCTTCCTTAATGCCTGTCAAATATTGAAGGAGCTTTTCTGTTTCTGGGTCTTATGCAGGATTGATTGGTTGATTGATTGATGATACCAGGCGCGTCATCAGCTAAGGTCATTAGTCCCTTCAGCGTCGTGCTCAGAAGGTGGCGGTGTGTTCCCCTGGTGGATAGTAAGTCCCGGTACCGACCTACCGTCGGCTATCAGAATTTTCCCCAACCAGGTGTCTCCCACCAGCGGGGCACCGCCCTAGCCGGAACACTCTCTGAGCTCCCGGCCGGTCTCCCGGCATGTGTGGTAGTGTAGTGCATGTTAGTGTGTGTGTGTAAGTAAGGGATGGGGATAGGGCAGGGAAGAGGAAGGTAAGATCGCGTGAGGTCCGTGTCATTTGTGAGGGTCCTGCACCGGTATTCGCCTGATGTTGATCGGAAAAACCAACTGATCGGAAAACAACTGATCAGAGCAGCTGGCCACTAGAATTCTCCTCCAGACAGCGGCTGTATTCGACCTAGCTAACAAGCTAGTGTCGAAAATCCTGCCATCGTCGGAACTCGAACATAGGACCTGCCGGTTGGAAGCTGTGCTCTGACTTCAATTGATGCCCTGAGCTACCTCTCCCGGTCTCTTATGCGGAAACGTATTTACCGTTCGAGAAACGGACTTCTTGAAATTCAGTAAGTGTTGTACTCCGTGTCTATGGCGGCTCAAAATTAAGCGACATAATTGTTTTGCAAATGTCTGGTATACAAGCGTAGTCGACTTGAATTTATAACTTATGAATGGAAAGTTTTTCCCGCAAGATATTTGAAAATCTCAATGGTTAGAATGTACAGACGATGTCATTCGTGTATTGTGCGCGAGACATTTTCAGATTTACGTACGTTAAGTGTACGTGATGATGGTAGGTGTACGTAGAATGATGGTAGAGTTAGCGTACTCTCGGAGTAGTTTAGTGAGTGGTTAATTCCACTTTAGACGCGCTTTATTTCGGTTATTACCATTTTCTGTGATTGTATTATGCAACTTTTATTATTGGGAGTATATACGTGGGAAGGAATGTCACAAATATAATAATTTGGCTCCTTGAACCTGGTTAATTCACCCCTGGTCCTGCATTCAGACCATCTAGTTTAAACGTCTCTGGCCTTGAGGCAGAATGATTGCTGCTATTTGTCAGAGGACAAGAACTTGGAAGCCCAGTTTGGGGAATGACGTTAGGCGATTTGAGTGGCGACGGGGAGGGACTGAGAAAGAGGAGAGAGAGCTACGGCAGGAAGTGATGCCTGGCGTCATCAAGGGGCCGTGCCCTTCACATCTGTCAGCAGAGGGTGGTGCTGGGGTGATCGGACTGCGAGCGACACGTTTGTTCACTCACCCTGGCCCAGGTCTAGGCCTTCGCCGGGTGGGAACTACTGGTTCACAGAACTAAAGGTCACAGCACGGGGACCAGCATATCCCCCCGTCCCCCCATATGCTTACAATATGTATTGGATACATAATTTATAAATATATGTAAATAATATAATGTATTGAAGCTGCTTCGATTTTGTTTTATATTTTGAAATTTATATACCATGTATTATACGTGTGTAATAAACGTAAAATACTCTTTCTTTTTGAAGTTAATTCGAGTGTTATATGAGTCATGATTTTAGGCTCGAAACTGTTTAATTTTAAAGTAAATATCGTTTAAAAGCAATATAATTGAAAAATGATTTCTTAATACGGGAAATTAAGAATAACGTTGAACACTGTCCTGCGCGTTTTATAATACTAAAACTAAAGTTCACCAATTTATTAATGTATGTTGTTAGATCAACTTAATAAAATTATTGTTTTCTTAATTATTATTAAATTTCTTCCCAAAATATAAAAAAAGTAACTCTTTTCTAATATAAATTTGAAGATCCGCGAAAATGTCTACATATATTTTTTTTAAACTTTGCGGGGTCAGTTGCACCCCCTTGCCCCCTTGTATATCGCTTCTGATTTTAATTATAATAATAGTATGTAAAAAGTATTTTGTTATATCTCAGTCTTCATGTGTTAAGAGAGAAGCAAAGGCACAGCATACATTTCATTGTTATAATTGTTGCGTTTTTAAAAATATTTAGGTGTATTTCTTTTTTAAAATATTTTTTTGCTCGCGAATAATACCACGCGTGACCGCACTATTATCGTGGTGGCAGGTGAATGTAACTTTATCTGGGGATCAGCATTTAGCTGGATCTGATTTTCATCCCCCAGGATTGTTAGCCCTGGGGGTATGAATGATGAAATGATGATGATAATGAGGGTTGAAAAGACACACATACAGACATACACATCCATGCCCGAGGCACGACTCTAACCCGTGATCTTCTGGTCCGAGAGAGCCACGGCACTACTGTCTTAGCGATGTTGGCCATCTGTTCGGCCTTCTGAACTATGTATTTTTTACGTTTTCTAATTTTGTTGTATATCTTTAGCCCTTTTGCAGATTTTGAAATAATCGGCATATGCTGATTAAAAAGTAATATTGTCAGTGATTCTAGAGAAAATTTGATATTAGATTTACAAACCATCAATTGGAAGTACGTGCTCACAAAAGAATTGAAATTAGGTAACTTGTAAACTCCTTGCTATACAATTTCCTTGGCCGGAGCAGCTCGAGACGTCTGACGGGGGGTCAGTTGTGATCAAGATCTGACGCGGGCAGTCAGCGATCTGGTTATCGTCCATAACGAATTAACTAGCAAACACGGACTTACAGTGAACCAGTTTTTCAATTTCTTGCTAGTGTTGAAGTGCAAAGTGTTACAAGAAACTAAACAAGCGAGTTCGTCACGACCTCAATCTTCTTGTGGCGGGAACCATGGTCTGCAGCTCCTGTCATCGACGTATGGAAGCACATTACAGGTAAATCATTAGAGTAATCGCATATTATCCTGTAAAATGAACGAATCTTAGAGGCTCTAATCGTATAAAGAGCATAGTGGTGCAAAGTATACATTTTCTTTGTCGGCCATTTTGAATTTATTACATGTGCCATGAAAAAAACTGTAGAACTCGAAACATATCAAAATAAATATTCTCAATAGTTTAGTAATAAGAACATTGAGGAGATTCATTTTACTAATGCAGTGGATTTTTTGGTTTATTTTATTACACAGTTACATTACTCTTTTATTTTCATTTACTGTCATGAATCGTGACATGAATTGGTCCAATACCAAGTGCAAAATGTAAACGTACGTTTGCAAAAACTATTTCCTTTGAAATGTTATATGGCTTAGTATTAGATTTTTGTTCTCATTCAATTGATTTAAAGATAAAAGTAAAAACATTAAAGAGTAATTGCAAGGTCTCCCGTGTTACAACCGAGCACTCGTCTAAAAGAATTCATCGCATCGAAGACGAGCAACTGATGAAGCTTTCCAGCGTTTCAATATCGGTATAGATAGTAATTTAATAGAATTGTCGGCTCCTCTCACATATAAAGAGCGAAATGAAATCGTCTCACTTCCATGAGAATATTTAGCATATTAATCATACTTATTCGTGAACGTAGCATGAACGTATCAATTAAATAACAAAGGAAAAAAATTAATGCAGCAACTAGCTGCTGAACTTATTGAAAATAAATATTTAAAAAAAACCTTCCATGAGAATATGACGAACAACGATGCGGGTCCTTGAACAGAATGAAGTATTTAGAACCTCGAACTCCGAAGGCGCGTTTTTGTATTGAATTTTATTTTACAGTGACAGACAGTACAACTTTCAATCGCGAGGTCTTTTAGTTGATTGACCGAGTAACTTTGTATCTGCAAAGAATATAGGGGCTAACTTGTCACCTCCTTGATAATAATTTCATTAGCTGGTACCTTCAACCAAGGAAATTGGGAGGAAAATTCTTGAAGCATTTGTTTGAGGGCGATGACAGGGTTTAGAAAGGAACACGATAGGTGAGTCAAGTAAATGCAATAAATGTTCTTACCTTACCTAATCGCGGACAGATATTGAAGGAAAATGTGAAATGGGAGAGTTGATGTCGCGTTGAAGCTCTTGAGTCCTGATTTCATGAGGAGGCCCGGCCTTTGCCCTACGTGGTTAATATAAACCATCCTTGAACATCTATCCAACGCATTTTCTTTGAAAGTATTTTTGTCTTGACATTTAGCTACGCGTGTTGAGAATCCTGCTTTCGCGATTTATATTAAACATCATTGAGCCCGAACCACGTATACTTTCCTCCTTTATTATTTGCCAAAATAGTTTTTGAATTGATTAAAATATGTCCTCCCCATCTGAACTACGAAACAAACTGTCCTCGTGTCCGCCACTTGTTCTTTGCATTCGTTCGCTGATCTCGCAACGTTGGAGTCGAATCGTTTCAAGAAGCTGTAAGATACGAATTGTCTTATAGGTTTTAATTTATTATCTTAGCAAACTTGAAATGCTAACTACACAAATAAGTGTATGTGTTTCATTAGAAATATAAGTTGACATTAATAGTGGGTGTAATGATGCCGTGGCGTGTAATGACGACATGGCTTGTATGATGTCGAAGCGTGTAATGACGTGTGGCGTGTAATGACGTGTGGCGTGTAATGACGTGGTGGCGTGTAATGACGTGGTGGCGTGTAATGACGTGGTGGCGTGTAATGACGTGGTGGCGTGTAACGACGTGGTGGCGTGTAAAGACATGTAGCGTGTATTGTCGCAGTGGCAGTAACTTGGTGTGTGGTTGCTGAACTGTCGGTCGACGGGCATTACGTCGGCATTGAGCATTGTGCCACCCCAACAAATATTTATATTTGATTCAGTGTGTCCGGAGAAGGCACATTCTCAGCTGTGAGAGATCAGCTGATGGAATTGCGGGACGATGGAGGCGCTGCTAAGTGATGATCTCTTCTTCTCTCTCAACAGTGAGTCTTCATTAGATGGAAAGGTTACAAGGGAACAACTCAATACTGAAAGTGCACTCGTTGCGTCGGTGGAAGCGAGTCTTCTGCCCGCAGCGTCAGGGAGGCTGCGTAGCCTAGGGCTGAATCGAGTCTGAATGAGAAGATGAACTAGTGCACGAGAGAAAAGATGCGGTTTGGACGGAAATTTTTATAGAATGAGTGATTATTGATAGCCCGTCTACGCCAGTGGATTCCAAGGAATGTGCCGCTGCAGACCGATTCCTATAAGCATAACAGCAGGTGGCCGGAAGCGCATTTCCTTCAGTCTTATTTAAATTCTGAACGTTCCATAAAATTTCATTATCACATTTGCTTAAAAACGTCTTACGACGCTTCTCAGCGTCACTATTAATGAAAGTGAATGTGTTTCACAAGTATGAAGAAAATAATATTGTGAAGAAATAAGGTTGATGTGCGAGGTAAAATAAGATTGATTATAAGCGAGAAGAAGCGTATAAATTATTTAAAATAATACGAGAACTTAAAGATTGGGAAGAATTGAAGTTGGTAAGAAATGTGTTGTTAAATTAGTTCAGAAAAGAGTAGAATTATAACAATTCGATCGAAGAACACAAAAATGAAAGGAAAAACGCAATTAAGAGGGGTTAAAACTGAGATTCAATGACAAAACACTCCTTAACTTTGACTTTTCTTCTCCCCATTCCTACGCACTTATATGCACTACACTACAACACATGTCAAGAGACCGGTCGGGAACTTTGTGATTGTCCCGGCTGGGGCGGTGCCCCGCTGGTGGGAGATACCTGGTTGGGGAAACCCTTCAAGCCGCTGTGTGTGTCAGCGCCGAGTCTGACGTCCCAGCGGGAGAAGAATTTCGCCCCATCCCAGTTATAACGTACACTCTTCTCGCGGTCGTAATGAGCAAAGCAGTTGACGCGCTGGAAACACGAAATCCTCTCCCCCCCTCCTCCTCCTCGCCAGGGAGCGAGGAAACAATCCCTCCCGTGGACGCTCGGGGGCGTCGCGACGCGTCGCAGGGCGCTTTGCCGCAATTGGCTCCGCTTGCGCCGCCTGACCCGCGCCTCGCCGCCGCCCGCCCGCCTCCACCCCTCCACCGCCTCCCACCGGCCACCTCCTCACCGCCGCCGCCTCCTCCGCCCCGCCGCCTCCACCCGCCGCCGCCCACCGCCTCCTCCTCCACCGCCTCCTCCTCCACCGCCTCCTCCTCCACCGCCTCTCCTCCACCGCCCCTACCGCGCCGCCGCCGCCTCCTCCTCCACCCGCCGTCCTCCTCCACCGCCGCCTACGCCGCCGCCGCCGCCTCCTCCTCCACCGCCACCGCCGCCTACGCCGTCTCCACCGCCACCTCCACTGCCGCCGCCGCCGTCGTCGCCGTGGGACAGCGGATGGCGCGCAGCTATCGACAGCTGTCTGCCGAGCGACGCGCGGCGCCGGGCGGCGAAGGCTGCTCGCGAGACGGTGCGATGAGCCGCATGTGGACGGAAGGGCGCAGAGGAAGAAAACGGAGGGGCGATGGCGCTGGCTCGCTGCAGCCAAGGACGGACGTATATTCTGAGGGGCACTCCGCATGACCAAACTAATGGTCCTTTAACAGTACAAAGAACTATTTAACACGTCATCCACATTTGTTTAGAATATTAATTGCGTATGAAATTAGAAAATCAGTACTACATTCATTTGCATGTTTTGAACTAATATAAAAACCATTGGCGCGAACTTTCAGTGCGCGTACTTGTAGCAGCACATACTTCCTTGCATCTAACTTCTGATTTTTTTGAAAATTCAGAGTAAAACGAAAATTGTAACTTTATCGCCTTTTTTAAACGTGTAAAAATGTAAAGAAACAATTTAAAGCGGATATTGGTATTCATTAAATAAATTGCATTAAAGTCCAGAAAACTACTAATTTAAAAAGAAAACATTGTGTCTACCTTTTATTTAAGATTTAATTTTTAAAACATATTTTCTTTAAGAAAATATCTCTAACATCAAAATTGTACTTTTGCAATGTTAATTTTTGTGCAATTTGCAAAAATATTGTCCGTCGAAAATGGGATCAGGATCATCTTTTCCGTCTTTTGCTACGTACGAGGTAGAAAATTAAGGAAATTGTTTTGAGTCGTTTTTGAGGAAATATTTGCTTAAAAACTGCCTGTATTTCTTGCAAAGTTCACGAAAACGACTCATATTTACGAAAAGTTGTACGTGATGTTATTTGAAGATCCCCTTTGAATTACCAAGATTTCTATGATCTTGGAAATATCTATTGAAAATATATACACACAACTAAAGCATAAATAAAATTTTGAACTTTTGAGATTGTCGAAAATACAAAGATTTTCACGAAGCTTAAACCTTCGCAATTGTTTAACCGTCGCTTACGCTACCCGAGAACAAAATTCAATAAAACGATGGTGTCATTTCTTGAGAAAATTTTGGAACTGTTGCGTAGGTTTCATGTTAAATACCTCCAGTAATCCAGATATACGTTTCAATTCTCAGGGTTGGTTTTATTCGGTTCATTGAGGTCGATAGAGGAATATCAATTTTGAAGGAAATCTGAACAGTTTAGGCTCTTGCGTTGACTTTCGACGGACAGATAGTTATGCGTTTTGGCATCATTCGATTTTTCGGTATCGAGGACCCACAAACCTGGATTCTGACTGCACACTGTTAGAGTACGTAATTTACTACATTTATAGAAGTAAGATTATACCGCTTTTGTGTTACCAGGGCGCGGCAATACAAGTTTTTCTGTCGAAAAATTGCTGAATTCTGCCGCAACACGGCGATACTATGTAAGTACCTAGTAAGACGAAAGGGTAAAAACTGTTTAAAGATATTGCGTTGGGGCACATTTGTAACGGGGGCACTAAGTGCGTTTTGTATCTCTTTATGCACTTCTCCCTTCGATGTAGCAGAAATTCCCCATCTGCGTTCGTGGAACCGTAGAGCTCTCTGGAAGGC